ACAACCTGGCAACACAAAAGTTGCTCTATTAATGGTGTACAACTTATCTACAAGGAATTAATCAATGACGCCATTAGTTACAATGTATAAACCTTTTTAAAAGACTGTTGTATTAAACATTTGAGAATAACACATCTACAGGCTTTTTTTGTTTTAATCAGATTAATATTTCCACCCACATTTCTGATAAATGATTTGTTTGCCACCAACATTTGGACTCAACAGTTCTATACCATCTTTGTTGCCTTTTAAAACTTTTATTCTCCACAAGCAGTGGTGCTCAAACTTATACAAACTTTATTTTCTGTATAAACGACACTTTCAAAATGCATCATGGGTAAGTCCAGGGATTATACTGCAACGTAATTCTGGACAGAAACACATTTAAAAACATACAGCAACATGTTTGTATTGTTCTATTGTATCTGGCTGGTGAAACCCGTTTGCGGCGGTTACATCAGCACTAAAATGTTTCAGGCTGCGGGCGTGGCAGGCGGTGCTCCTCACCTCGGTGTTCCAGGTCGTGGTGGTTCTTTTCATCCTTTGCGGCGCGCTGCCAAGAGCCGCCAGACCCAAGGGGCCGGAGCCGGCGGCCGTCACAGGGGGGATGCCGGGTGGCTGCAGGCCTGAGGGGTGTGGGGGCAGCTGGACCGGTGGGCCGTGGGCTGCATGAGAAAGATGCTGAGCCTGAAGCTGCTGCTGTAAATAAAAGCAGAGAGACAAAGGACAAGTGGATCAGCTGGGAAGTGAATCCATAAATGGCCGCACTCTACTCGTGCATTAGCGCTGGCTTTAACAGCATTTAGTTTAAGGCCAAACCATTTATGCATAATAGCTGACAGAGTGCCAACATCACCGTCACTGTGGGAAAAACCAAATTCTGCTCATAGCTGCAGATGTACTGTTTGGTTATCACCTGGCTCCAAGTCTTGGATAAGTCAAACAGCAGAATATATTGATTTCCAAAAACATCCGAGTTATTACTACCTACAATCTTTAGCATTTGGATGTGCATTATTATATATAATAGACTATGTTGTGTCATCAGGCAGCAAGATGTCACATTTTAACTCCTTTTAGCACCTTAATTACAAACAATGTTTTTAAATTAAAACGTTTTTTTGATTAAAGTTTGTGTTGTATGACAGGAGTCCAACAATTATGCTCACTTGTCAACATTTCTTTAATTAAACTAATTGTTCAGTTTGTAAAGAAAAAGGTAAAAGATGCCGATCACTGCCATCCAGAACCCAAACTGTCTTCAAATAGCTGGGTTTGTTTGGCCAGTGCTAAAGTATTAAACAGGCAATGATATAAAACAAACAAATCTTTACATCATCAAAGCTGGGACTATAGAATTTTTGACATTTGTGCTTGACAGATGATATAAACAGTTCATTTTCAAAAGTGTAGATTCATTTTCTATTGACTAATAGTTTCAGCACTAAATCAGCTCTGTGCACAGGTGTGCACATGTAGGAGCTACAAAGCTGGGCCACTGGAAAGACTGTAACCAGGTATATACTACAGGCCTAGTACTTTTCATAGCACACTCTTCACTTATTATATCACAGTTGTTTTACCAATTTCTAATTGTTCTGCATTTATGGTACAAGACCTCTATACAAAAACTATGTCTGACTGGATGACACGTAACCTCTGGATGTCAGATCTGAAAGAGAGCATCTTTGCTCTCTCCCAAACTACTGTGCTGCAATCATGGTTGGGACAGTTAAAAATCAATAGGTCTACACTTGTAAACCTCAAAACCTTTCTGCACTCTGGAAAACCAAACAAGGAAACCTACTCTTCCAGCAAAATGCTGTTAAGCACAGACACACAGACCTCTAAGAGGCCATGAATGTCTGTGTGAAGAGAGGCAGCCAGAGAGGAGTGAGTAGATAGACATGAGTTAAATAGCCACTCAGGCAAGAGGGAAGCAGGTTCTTTAAAACAAGGTTAAATAACACTTAGCACATCCATCAACTACCTCTCAACAGGAGAAAAAAAATAACATGATTGCTATTCTGCTTGTGAGATAAAACTTCAGTAACCTTATCCATACATTCATTACATGAATGGAGAAAATAGATGAGGGTAAATCTAGGCTCTTACCACATTTAAAGGTTTATTTAGCAGCTGGCCATTACTCAGTCAGCTCATTATGCTGAGTTGGACCTGAAATTGCACAATGGATATAAGCAACTGAGGAGCTGCATTGGTAATCGATATCGATATCGTACTGGTGTGCCAAGTGGCCTATTTGTTTGGGGAAAAAAAAAAAAAAACAAAAGCGAGCAAAAAGAGAGAAAGGGGCAGCCAGAACAAGAAAGGGGGGGAGAGGCAGAATCAGAAAATAACAAGAGAATGAAAGAGAGAGCGAGAGCGACTGAAGCGGTGGCGTCCCTATTGAGTGTGCCTAATGAGGAAAAGCATGCAGGGATCATTATCAAGAAGCCTCATTAGCGAGCTATAGCTGAGGAGAGGAGCGAGGAGAGATGAGGGAAGGGATGAGGAGAAAAGAGAGAAAAAATTTTCAGAAAATAAATTGCTTCCAATTCAATATTCATGGATAAGGAGCTGGCTTCCTTTCACACTTATCTTTTTTCATTATGTGTAAATGCCGCCGCAGCTCAGGCAACTTCCACAGGAAACAGGCAATTAAAGTTAACTAGGCGAAGCTGGCTCCCTGCAGAACAGTACTGTCAGGTGGAACAAGCATCAACAGCACCAGCACAGACCAGCTGGCAGGCTGGCTTAATACGTCTGGCAATGATCGCCACATTACCTACTTTCACTGTACTGTACAATATGTATTCCTCAGTTGTTGTCACAGATTAGACAATGCCCTATGCTAAAAACAGACCTGAGTGATTTCAGTATTGGAATCCGATTGAGATGCAGAAAACATTTGAGGTTAGTTGGCAGATGAAGAAATAAAGTGCTGTCAAATCTGTGCCACCCGAGTTAAAGCAGACAAAGAACAAGATGCCAAAAATATCCAAACACACCCAAGTCAAGCATCTCAGAAGGCATCATCTCCCTTCACAAAGACACATTAGACCACCAGCAAGAGTTCCACAACACTTAAAATGTATTTTCTCTTTGTTTTGTAACTTCCCTGAACACTGACCATGAAGGCTGGGTAGACACTATGAGGTGGCTGCGGCGGCTGCTGCTGCTGCTGGGTCAAAGGAGAGAAGAAGAGATTCAGCCAGAAATGATACAAGCAGCAAAAACTAGGGCAACGACTAATGACTGTTTTCATTCTCATTTCATCTGCATTTCCCTATTGATTATTGAATCCTTTGGTGTATAAAAAGTGATCAATCTGTTCACTGGACAAAACAAGGACAGTATAAAATTCAAAGATATTCAGTTCGCTATTAAAGAATATCAGTAAGTTTAAAGATATGGAAGCAGAGATTTTGGGGGGAAATTTGACTTAAAACCATTTAAATAACCAATCAAAATAGATTAGATTAATTTTCTGCCAATCAACTAATAATTTAAACCCTTAAAAAAGTAACAAAAACACTAAGCTTGATTCATTAACTAGTGCATCTAACAATAAAGCTGGTGATCTCAGGCTATATATATATATATCATAAAATAAACATTAAAGATCAAAATCATGCCATTATACCATCATCCTGAACCAGTGTGTAGACACTGATGAGTCAAACCATGTGCCACTGTGGACACTTGCTTTATAAATAGGCTACACATTCAATCCAGGTGGAAATATGAGCTGTAATACAACCCCAAATAAAACATGCATACTGTTCAGAGGGGATTGGTATCAGCAACAAACCAAGCAGTGTAAAAATTTACCTGTCTCAGATTAGCACTTACATACATGGTGATAAACAGCGACCGACCCGTTAACCATTAATCTAAGTACAATCCTGTGCTGTGTTGAAATCATGGAAATAAAAGTAGGAGCATGGAAATGAGGCAACACCTCAGACATTTTATCAAACCACGGTTGTGTGGGGGGGGGGGGTTCATCTTAATACATTTGAGCTCTCTGTGTTTTCATAGCAAACAATATGTTAAGCTGGAAAACAAAACGAATCATCATTTCTCTTTTGTTTTGCACTCATATCTTCCATTAACTGGTTCACGATCAAGTCACTTAAATGTCAGGAGACTGGGATAAATGACAACCCCTCAGAGTACAAGGTGGCACCTTCATGTTGTTTGCCTTGTTCAACAAAAAGTCTAAAACTCAAATATATTTAATTTACACTGATATAAAACTGAAGAGCAGTAGTTTCTTTCTGAGAGGCGGGACTGGCAAAAACAACTGTACTAATTAGTCAATTAACAGAAAATGAATCAGCAGCTAATTTGTTATTGATAACTGTTTCAGCCCTACATAAAATAGCAATATTTTACTCTGAAATTCTCCATCTGGATATCAAGCTACCACGCATTGGGTCCCGACCCTGGAGATGATAAAAATCTGTTGTGTTTGGCCTCAGTAACCTCCTACTGGAAGGACAGGGTGAGGCAGTCGGATGTTTGGGGGCTTTAACATAAATATAAATATATATTGCAGTACACACCGACAGCGAGCACTGCGGGTGGCCCCTGAGAGGCAAACATCTATCATGGGATTTGGTGTTCAGCCAGAAATCTGAGTATGTGTGTGACTTGAATCCATTTTCTGATCTAAATGGTGTGGAAAGCTGCCAGAGCCTGACGCTCTCTGAAAATCACCTAGACATTAATGACAAGAGATTGATCACCTACCACGTCTTCACCCCAATAATTAAACTCTGTTTTTCTCTGTGTTCACTACTGTTGTGGACAGCCTCACTGCACCAGTTGGAGGGCAAAAAAGGAAGAGGAAATAGGAAGTAATTACCTTGAAAACTGGGGGTTGTGCTCCTGGCTCATTTACCTTAATCGAATTTCGATATGTGCCCCTCATTAGACTTGACCCCCCTACCGCTGGGACAAGCTAACCGCCGGCTAACCTCTCCTTCAGAGGGCTAATCAAAGGGGTCAGTCATCCATCTGGGTCCAAGTTGGTTAATAAAAAGCTGCTAGATGTATAGTTTTTAAATAAAAACAGATGGAAGATCAACTCACTAAAATGTCTTTGGCCTGAGTGGATTTTGGGTGTGCAGGCTTCTGGCTACAATTAAATGTCAATTACTGATAAACCAAAGTACACTCCATTCCTGTATTAAAGCTTGGATTGGTGCAGATGCTCCCAAATGAAATTCTGAATAATGATGAGAATAAAACTTTTAGTACTGTAATGGTTAAAAAAAAAAGTTTCTGCCAAAAGTTACCAAAAACCCTCAAAACAGGAGTGAATCAGCACTGAAACAAACATGATTCAGACTTAAGTTATGTTAAGCAAGGAAAAAAAAAAAAAAAAGTTCAAAACAGCCTCTGCGTTGTAATTCTGAGTCGGAGATGTCACGGATTTCGGACTACACTCAAACTGGTGACAAGATGTCTGTCCCCCAGGGCTGCCACTTACATGTAAATAAAATCCTATATTAACACTAATGTACTAAATTCAGCTCATTGAAAAGGAACTATACGCTACAGTATTTGTTAGTATCCAATTATTAAGGAAGTCCTAACAACACAATACACAACAAAACAAAAGCAGCCAACTCAGGCTACTTAAAAGATGTGACTTCAACACTAGTAGCACGGGGTAACCATCACAGACTGTGTGGACCCTTCCAAGCTGAACAGCAGGGGATGTTCCTGTCCCTCCCATTCAGGGCACATTCTTTGAATGCAGCCTAAATCTTTTATCCACAACACCGTACAAATCTTCAGTACCTGTTAAGTCCATACCACTGCAATCTCTGTTGCAATCACAACACTTGTCCCAACCTGACCGCTCGAATTCCTCCTGCTACTGGGTCAGAGGTAGGTAAGCCTGTTGGCTGGAACCCTTTATCTAATTAAAGTGCAGCCAAAGTGAAATCTGAGAAACATCATGATCTGATCTCAGCCTGGGTTGTGTTACTCTATATCAGATGTTCTTTGACTCTGCCTGAGAGGAGAAAATCCTGCGTGTTGACAGGTCATGGTTAACCAACAATCAGAGAAATGACAGCAGTGAACACCATACTGACCACACATTAAAAACACTGAACTCAAAACAAAAACATGATAAACCACTGAAGACAGGGGCAAGTCTGCACGAGTGAAGAGGGCACGGCACTGACATTTGGATTCAGTCTGAACATTCAAATGCCACAGACAGAAGGAAGAAAATGGTTGCTGATTAAAACACTAAGCTACTTCTGTTCCATTTGCACCCCTGTTTTTCTCCTTAACGCTATTGCCCTTTCCCAGGTTAGCCTCGACACGCGACACTTCATCTGAAGCACACAGAGCCAACAGCATAACATAGTACTCTTGAATACACTACGTCTGTATTGTAATGCTGGACCTTCACCATGCATGCAGTTTTGCCTCTGGCCTCTAGTCAAATGAAGGAAGAAAAAAGGGGGTATACACACAGTCAGAGGCAGATTGGGAAGTCCACGTACCCCGATGATAGCATTCAGCTCAGTCATCGTCACCTGCTTGGCCCGCTCAACAGCCTGAGCTACCTGCTGTTGATGCTGCAGGACACAAATACACAGAGATTAGAATGTGACGGAAATGAATGCATTGCAAAAGACTGAATGAAGAACACATCCTGGCCTGTGCCGATTGTTTGCCTGCCAAATCTATAAATAGGCACTTTAGGTGTGAAGAAGAAATAAACTCCACAGTACATAAAGTCGTTTAATTTTACTTAGTCATTAATACATAAGTTCCATGAAGATATTCTGCATCTGTGTGGAGTGAGAAATGACAGAGTGAATAGAAACAGCTCAAAGTGAAAGGGAAATTTGAGAATTTTAGTTTTAACCAAATTTAGTTTTTATACTTGAAAAAGGCATTCACAAGCTTAAGGATAATCTAGTTTGTTTTCTGGAAAAGCCTGGAGGTTCTGCAGAATTATCATTTGCAGTTTTTTGTGCTTTGTCTGGCAACTTGTGAAACAACAGGTGCCGAAAGAAAAGGGGTAATCACAAATGATTCAAAAAATGTTTAATTCTAACACATTATTGAATATTGTGCTGTTAAAACCGTCACTTCAACTTTTCATGATTAATTAAATTTGTATTCTGTTATGCATCCACTATACAAGATGCCACTGAGCCGTCTCTGCACAGTAGCCAAACTCACAAGTGTCTGTACAGTACTCATACTCATTCACATTCTTGCTAGCTGGGTAGACACTCACCTCTTGTGACAAGAAGGGCATGATCTGAGCCAGAATAGCATTGAGACGCTTGGCAATTTCAGTCTGTAGGAGAAAAGAAAATGTGTAAGAATGACAGTCTCACACTGAAATTAGGCAGTTATACTACTTATGAAACAAAAGGGCATGCATTTGTATACACACACACACACACACACACACACACACGTTTACAGTATCCATCTGGATAGGTATGCATTTCCTATCTAAATTGGGTCCACCTTAAAATATATTCCCCCCCTTTCTCCTGCTTCCATTAGACTCAGGCCTTATTTCATTAAGGAGGCTGAAATATGCTAATACCATCTGGCTGGAGAGACCCTAATGAGGACCATACTTCATAATTATGGTCAACAGAGAGGGAGGTGGGGCAGGCTGAAGCAGACAGGTTAACACTGTAGCCCTATCTATCAGAGGCATCTTTGGAATCAACCATGTAATATTAGCTGGGAGAGTAAGATGATACTGCAGGACTCGACGAACGCAGAGCACTTTACTGTGCTGCATTTGGACAAATGGATATGCTGAGCCCCCTGCCTAACTCACATCCAGGTCCCAAGACATTTTTCTCCATTTCCTTTTGTAAAGGCTGTACTTTCCAGAGAGAGAAAGAGGAGGAAGACAACAAGTACAAAGAGAAAAACACCCAGGTAGAAAGCAGAATAAAGGAGAGGGGGGGGTGAATGGTAAAGTGACTCGATACTGAAGTAATATGATCTGACTGAACCGGGGAGGCGAACTAATTGATTCTGAGAGATTAGGGGTGGAAGCCCAGCAGGTGTGTGTGGGGTGAAGAGGTCTTTCCCGCCATTTTATACACACCGCTGCATTCCACTCATTTTCTCCTTTAAACTTGTTTGACTGTGAAAGGGGGAGGGAGAAAGAAAGTGGAAAAGGGGAATAGGAGCTACTGGAAGCCTTTTGCAACAACCCTCAGTGTCACTCTTTTCATTGTGGAGCAGGGCAGACAGGAAAAGAAGGATAGAAGAGTGGGGGGGGGAGACAGACCTTTGCTGGCCTGTCAGGAATTATCTCCCAACCCCTGTCTGACCTTAGGTGGACTGTGCTTTCTCTCTCCATCCAGGCTCATCCCTCCCCCCTCCTCCTCCAAATGCTACTTCACACCCCTCCATGCTAATCTCCACTACTGTCCTCTGTGCCCTCCCTCCTTCCTCCTCTTCCTCTCTCATCATCCCCTCTTCTGTTGCTGGGGCAACGCTATCTGGCACGGCTGATCGTTATGTAAATTGGGCTGGGGCCCTGACCAGAACAGCCTGTAAAATCATATTAGGCGCAGCACAGAGGCAGGTCATTAAATTGAATTTTCGGCCTGTCGATCTGATCGGCACAGGACAATTAATGAGGGATAACTGGGAGTGGGAAGGCGGGGAGGGGGCTGCACTGAGCAGGCTGGAATAGAGAGAGAGACAGGGGGAGGGGGCTCTGTGGAGACTCATAAACCATCATCATTAGCGGGGGCTGGATACAATGACACACAGTAGGATTAGTGTATTTCAGTATCACACCACTTCTCAGGAAATGGCTGCAAGGGGAGCATCATGGGGCTTGTAGGAAACAGCGGTGTGCTGATCCAATCTGCTATTAGAGCAACATTACAAACGTTCAGCACAAACCAATTCACAACGAACGACATCCATTTGCCCATAACAAATCACCAGTTGTTAGTGCACTGTGCAGGTTTCTCTGAAAGGCAAGCTAGAGGACCAGGTGGCTGGAGAGCTAAGGTCGTGCTGAGTTGCATTCAGGATTTTTAAGGTTAAATGTTCCTGAACCCCTGGCTTCCTCTGCAATTTATCCCTGAGCTAAAATATTACTCTGGAGCCATGAAATAAAACAATGCAGCAAAGCTCCTTTGCATTGATTTTTGTGGCATAATAATGGCAGTGCCGGTGTCGTACATTCTGCCTGTCATACCTCAGCTACAATTTACATGAGGTCAAATATGATGTGTCAACCTGAGAGATGTACTGTAAAACCCTTCAAATGAAATTGCCTTTATCGGCTCCATCTTGTCCTTCCTTTTCAGATTTAGGCACTGTTGAGTTCACACGTGAGGGAGGGCAAATGGGCACATGGCTTACTTACACTACTTTGACAGCCATTTTGAAGGGGAAAAATACTGATATCGCATCACGTCTGATGACTCGCAGCACTCTTAAATAACTCCCACTTTACTGTGCAGGCACTATTTTCCACAGTGCTTTTAGTGGCAGAGACAGGCACTGCAAAGAGTTTATTGTCACTTAAAGCCACTGAAAACAGAGGCCTTTGAGTCGGTAGAAGCTTTTCACTGCAGCTTCACAATTACAGGTACTCAGGGTTGTCTAGTAGCACCAGAGCTTGGAGAGGCTCTCTCTCCATTGCATCCCTCTGTCAATGGTGTGTTGAAAGCCATTTGGCTGTTTGTCGCTCCAGGCATTAGCCCCCGAGTGAGCAGAGGAAGAAAGAGGCACTTAGAGGGATCTTGTTCATTACAAATGCATGAAGGATATTTTGCATGTGCATGTCATTCTATTTTGAGCTCATACAAAAATGAAGTGACATCCTTTTCCTGCTAGGGCACATATAGAAACGGGCTGTTCAACAGATTACATCTGAGTTAATTTGAGTTTAAGCCATCACGATATAAACTTCTTTTAGTTCTCATTTGAATTATGACATACGCACACGTCTCTTCTTCCATTTCACATTGACACACAAAGCCATCATCAGCTGGCTGACACACACACACACACACACACACACCAGCAGACACTAATTGTGTAACACCGGCCTACCAGGCTTTCTAGCCTGGCTATCAAAATAAAGCTCATCTCACAGCCTCTAGTAACCTCGTCAGCCCCTCTTGAGAGACTGTGTGTTCTCATAGTCAGTTTGTTTTGGCTTAGAGACAGGTCGGCCATCATCACCTTGGCAAACAATTCCAGGAATCCTGCATAAATTATTCATTTGCACAAGCTTTCTTTCTCCCTCCCTCTGCTCCTCCTTTCACTCTATTCCTCCATCCAAGAAACGGACACAACTATCCTTGATAAAACATGTTCTCCGTTTCCACCGTTCGCTCAACAAGTGAGGAAATTGATACATAGGACAGATTCACAAAATGGCTACCTAAGGTACAACAAAAGTAAGAAGCCAGATATAACAATAAAGGATAGGACACGTAACTTCTTGGGGTTCTTCTTTTCTATTCGTGCACCTTCTGCTTTCAGTTTAACAAAGAGTGAGGTGAAATCGAAATGCAGGCAAGTGTTGAAGAGATAAACAGGGACCACAAGAGAGGCAGTGAAAAACACAGCAACCCCCAACACGCCAGCACCACAAAGTCAGCAGGGTACATTGCTGAGGCAGTCTAATGAGCTGCGCTAATTAAAATCACTTATTGACAGCAAGCAAGGGTGATTACCTCCACCCTGCACTCCTTGCCATCATAAGAGACACTGTCAAAACAAATTACCCCCTGGAAGCCACACACATCCCTTTGCTAGCAACAGTATAGAGGACGTTGTGTGTCTGTAGGAACTTGGACTGCAGCATGTTTGTGTGTGTGTATGCAAACACACAGCTGGTGTAACCATGTATTTAATATGCACGTGTGTTTGTGCCCCTTCCCCTGCTTTTAAACCCAACTATAGCAATAATAATACAAAGTGAGTTTATCACGTCTTTTTTGCGCTGCAATACATCTTCAACACAAGCATCCAATAATCCAGCCTCCCTCGCTGTCTACCAATAACAGGGAGCGCTAAGGGCTGTCTGTTTACCTCTTGCTGATGTCATGACAAACACTCATTCACAGGGATGGGGAAAAGGAGGGAGAGGAATGGAGGTGGCAGGAATCATGCATTATTCACAGCGCTCCGTGAACTCCTCCGGGCTTATTGATAAACAAAGGAGATGCACAGGAGAGGGCCAGTCGATTAACCCATTTACCCTAAAGCCTCTCGCTGCTTTCCTGTCTCCATCTCCCCCTTTGCCCACTTGTTTTGTCCACTGCCACCAGCATCCACCCACAACCTCCACCCCCACCCTGCATCGCTTCCACCTCCTTGCTGGTAGTAAGCGACTGACAGAAAGAGCTTAAGAATGGGGAGGGAGGGCGAGAGGCAGCAAGCTCCCAGAGAAACAGAAAACACACCTAGTTAGCTCACACACACACACACACATAGAATGTCTGTGTCTGATGGATTGTGCAGCATGCCGCTGTTTCAACTGCACCACCCTCCCACTGATGCCATTAACCTTCTGGATCTGAGGGCCATGAAGCCTCCACCCCACCTCTCTGACAGACTCCCACCCTCATACATCACATCACACTGCTAATGACACAAGGGCTATCATACATATCACATCATTGGGGTGGCAGGACAGACACAGGTGGCGGAAACAATGAAAAGACATACGGCACATGGGAGGAGGTGGAAGAGGAGAACTGAGAAAGCAAAGGTGACTGAGAGAAACAGAAGTCAAGACCAAATCAGAGTAAGACCAGAAAGATTAAAAAGGGGCTTTTAGAGATCCAAGATCTTTGAAAATGAACAGAATAAAAGACTATACAGATGTCTATTAATACAAAAACTGTGGATTTCATACAGCTGACTGGAGGGCCACAGATGAGCTCTTTAGCTAAACAAAGTTATTTTGCAGTCTTGCTTACAGGTCCCATCTTGCATTATGGTGTCTACAGCAGGCATGGGATCAGCAGATGTTGCATCCTAACCACACCAAACACGGTAAACGCTTACCAGCCATTTACCGCCAAACAAACAGCATACATGCTGCTCATTCTATGGATGCACCTAAAAACTTCAGACGATTAGCCACCTCCAGCCATATCAGTAGTATGAAAGAACTTGTATACATGCTCCTATGTGATGTGGCATTTCCAGGTAGAATTTTCTTTAACTGACATGCAAACAGCTACATTCAGCATGAAATTCTATGCATAAACTGCAAAATGTTCATCTGATTCCCAGCACCCAAAATGAAGCCCTGAAAACGTTTGTTTGCCCAACTAATGGTTCAAAAGACATTCAATAATATGAGAAAACAGAAAAGCTGCAAAGACACAGAACCCAGTAAATGTTTGGCAATTTTGCTCGACTATCATTCTGTCAAAGACTTTGATACATCTTTGTATCATTTTCCTTCAAGTATATGTTTCAGTATTACAAAAACATAAACTGAATCCAAAAATAACATGTTGAAGTGAGAACACTTGTTTCCAACATGATGCTAAGCACCAAGACAGACAAAGTCACTGAGGAAAGCACTTGTCTTCATCTAGCTGTGCAGGGGCTTTAAGCCAACCAAGCTGAGGGGTGGTTTCCACAAACACTAGACCAACCGGCCTCCTCCACTTTGGACATGACAGGCCAAAGATCCACTGGAAACAACCCAACAAAGAAGGCCAGTGCACACAGTGGCCACTACTTCTAAGGCCAAGATGTGTTTAATATATCTGCCCTCTTTTCCTTCATGCCCTTTTAGGTGGTGTAGACATGTTTGTCCTGTTCATCTGTAGAAGCCGTTCCACTGCAGCGTAATGCCCAGTGTTGGGTGGCAGCTGAACTAATGAGCTTTTAGCACGGCTGGCGCTGCGGAGGCAGACGGAATAGTGCAGGCATAAGGGCGCGCACACACACATTCAGAAGGACAAAACACATCCTCTCCAACTGTCTGCCAAATACTTCACTTTAATCTTATCAAACCATCCCCAGCAGGCGGCGTGCCCTTCGTGTTGTTTAGCCTGTCAGCATTTTCACTACAGGAAGCCAGTATGTGTGTATGCCTCCTAAAGACATTTAAGGATGAGGGTAGAGACTAAGGTCAGGTATGTGTGTGTGTGTGTGTGTGTCTGTGCGTAGGTGTATTTATATTCCTCAGTCACAAGGGGGGGGAAAAAACCAACAGTGTTTTGGCTGTAAACAGATCATCTCTGATATGGCTACATACCTGTTTGTGCATCTCAATGTTGAGCCCATAGGACATCTCATAGTACTGTAAAATAAAAACAGACCACATTAAAAACCTTTCAAAGAATTTACAGTTACGCATCTTCATTTGTGCATTGACTCCAATAAGTGTTCAGTATGCTTCATGGTAAACTGTATGCCTTTTGTTAATTATGGAAGATGAAAATACCATGTAACTTTTGACTTTATCGAGTAAACAGGAAATTTGGTAATGCAACAAGACTAAAAAAAAAATGCTGGTATAACATTTATCAGTCTTCCAAAACATCCAAACAAATAAAGAGAAGATGAATACATAGTGCAGGATGGGGGTGGACCATTAAAAGCACAGTGACATCAAAAATCGTTTCACAACCGCAGCAGACAGACGGCTGGCTACTGTTCCCATTTACTTCTACTGGGCACTGCCAGTCATTTGAGCACAAACACTGTCTGTGGCTTCAAAAACCAAGGGGAAAGCCAATACTGTTACTGAAAACAACAGTATCTGCTGTTGATTGCCAAATGCTTGTGAGCCCACCAACAGATACAAACTAAAGCCTACTAGTTTGTCTGCCTTGTTTAACAAACACACAGCAAACAGCTTCCATTTATTATAGCTACTCCCACCACCTTCTGGTTCCTCACAGGGAAAATAATATTTAACAAACGTACTGCTGCGTTTGGTTAAAGCCATTCCTCTCATGTACAAACAAGATAAGCGCACACATACACAAACCAAGAGTGAGGACTAAGTCACATCATTTATCAGATAAAGCTTGTTCTTTTTCCATGCACACAATGCAGCTTTTCCTGTATAAGAAAGGACCTTTGAGGCAGGCTGTTCTTGCACAGGTCTCATTGTCTGTTTGATCACCAGGAAGCTCTGAACTGAATATACAGTGATTTAACTGCAGTATCACAAAAGTTTTACATCCAACCAATCACAGACATTTGACAGAAATCAAGCAACCTGTCCAAGTTCAGGAAGACGCGAAGCAAAATGCCAGACTACACAAAAAACAGTGGGGCTGGGTTTAATGTTAGTAATTACTGACTTTTAAAGGAATTAGACTGTGATGACATGGAAGGTGCGAATAATAATTATGGTCATCAACTAATCTGCTGCTTTTTTCCCACTAACTGTCTAAAAATTGTCAGAAAATAATGAAGATGGTTCATCGCAATTTCCCAGATCCTAAAGTGGCACCTTTAGATTGTTTGTTTTAATCTAAACAATCACTAAAATCCAAAAGGTATTTAAGTTATAATCATAAAAGTCAAAGAAAATCTGCACATTTCAGAAGCTGGAAACTGCAAATGTTTCATATTTTTAACTCAACAATGTCATACATGAATAATCCATTATAAAAACAGTTGCTGATTAATTTCCTGTCCATTGTTAAACAACTAATCTCAATGTGAGCGGTCACTGTTTTACACATGCAGAGTCTGGTCTGATGCACTGAACATCAATTGAATTCCCATACAGTCATAAATATGGATTTATTGTTGAGATGCTGATTTCCTTGACGATGCCTGGTCCAGCACGTAGTCGCTATAAGGTTTGAGATTAACACACAGTCTCCCCTTATCTGTGTAGAAAGTGTCTCAATGACCCAGTGGCTTACTGTGGGAGAGTTAAGAAGTTGAAAAAGAAAGAATACAGGAAGCCCTCTGATTCATGCACAAAGCCAGCAGAGCAGCCATTAATCCCCAAGTGGGTAAGGAGGTGGTGCAGGAGAGTTATAAAGAGGACCCAGAGCCATCTGGGGAGGGGGTGGGGGGACATTAGTGTTTCAACTCCCCCTCCACACAGCCACACCCTGCACCTTCTTATCCAACAAAAACACAGGCCTGAGTCAACACCACCAAGCTGGGACAAATACTAACATGGCCTTTGCAAAACACAAGGGCTGCAACACCTGTGAATGTTCACCTGAGGCAAAGGGGCGGACACAGCATTAAATCAGATTCACGGCTTTACGATAACTGGTCTTACCATGACGTAGTGACGCTGCATCTCTGTCTTTTCATTGGCCAGTTTATCATACTCCACTTTAAGACTTAAGGAAGAGAAGAGGGCAGAAAATCTTGTTTAAACTGTGGAAATACTTTAACACATACTTAATGGTGAACACACTGATAACAAAACCTAATTTAGGACATATACACTGTTATGTGGGACTTGGTGCATGAAGCTACAAAAATGGAACAAAACAGAGACAGCTTCCTCTTCCTATTCTTTCCAGGAAGCCAATGCTGTTTACAGTACGCTAGTCATTACCTGTGGTACTGGGCCTGCAGGAACTGAAATTCATCTTTGATCCTGTCGCAGGACTCTGCCACAGTGAACTTGAAGCCGGGCTGCCCTGGCTGGTGAGGTGCCTGAAAAGTGCAAGGTTGGAGACACCACAGGTGTAAATAACGCCATCACAGCCCACACAGTCTCACATCTCTCTTGCAATCTTCTCTTCTTCTTTCTTGATAAGAAGTGTTTTTTTTTCCTCTTTCTCTCTCTGGATGGTTTGTCTGTGCATTTCCCCTGAGCTCTGACTGGCAGAGGAAAGAGCCTCTGACCCGCTTTCACTTCACTCAACAGTGTGTGCAATGACAAGAGGCAGGTCACTTCATCCGGTGTCAAAGTAATATTACATGATGGAGAGAGAGAGAGAGAGAGAAAAAAACATACGAGTGTGGGATTTTGGTGTGTACTAGGCAAAAAGCACAATTAGCCTTTTAGCAGCATAAAAATGCATCAATTTCAAGAAATTCACTATAGAGAAAGATGCGATCCTGTACTTTACTAAAAGGTCTGATCTTGTTGTCCATAAACACGATCTCCCAGAGTGAAACGTCTCAGCAGCAGCAGCAGACCATAAATAGTAAGGTGTGGATCAGCAGCTCTACTCTGACGAGCTAATTAGGCTATTTTGAAGGGCGGTGCATTTGCATCAATTTACAAATAGTGACAAAGACAGCTACTTACCGGATGCCGGCCTTGTGGATACATGTCGAGTCTTTACGCAGGGAATGTGTGCGTTTCCTCCTTCTTTAATCCCAGTGAAGGTTCCGTAAATCACCACCACCCCCTCCCCTGTATACGCAGGACGGCAGTGGACAAAGCCCCGTTCTCGGCTAGGGGCGCACACTCAGACCCCGACCGCTGGATGTGTCAGCTCGGCCTCTTCTTTGTATCTAAACAAACATAAGGGGACACAGCTAAGGAGTGGGATCACTTTGGGAGCAGACTGTAGCACCTGGACTGTAAATCGGACTTAATAACGAAAATATCTGTTACAAAAAAAGATAAAGTCTCACTGTGGCATTGTGATTTATAATGTTTCCCACTGCGAGTCAAAAATATAAAATGTAGCCTCGATACAGTGGGGAAAGAAATAAGTGTTCCGGCAAAACGTATTTAATCCCATATCTCAAATAAATCCCAAAGTTGTTACTTTTATCATACATCACACCCTCGTGATTCTTTAGTTTTTTTATTTGTATACATCTAACTAGTTGTCTTCCACAACGGGCTGTTTTTGGTGGTCCGTAAAGACCAGAAAACAAGGAGCTGCTGCTGCCATAAAGCCACACCACCACCTCCACCCGTCTTGTTAGCGGCTCTCTTCGTGTAACCCTTTTTACCTTTGTCTCGCCTGATTCCTCCCTGCTCTTCTGCACAGGTAGAAAAAAATCAGTGTCCAGGCACAACGCTTAATATCCCTGACTTGTAGTCGTCAACATGGAATGATAAGGGCGGCTAATGTCCGTCGCCGTTTCTATTTTTCTTCCACTTCTTCGCCTCTTTAGAGTCCTTTAAAAGCCCGCTGATCCCGAGGCGGAGAGCGTCCCTCCGTCCGGTCGGTCGGCGCTGGAAACCCCTCGACAGGGACGAGTTGTTGACCTCAGACAACTTGAAAGAAAGCCTTTATTAGATCCAGTAGTAGTACACGAATCTTCCAGTAAGTCCAAAGATAATTTATGGCAAGTAAACGGGTTATATTTTTTGAAAACGTCGGCCGTTGTGAAATATACCACTAGCTCTCCGCCTGGTAGACCCAGTTCCTCCGCCGCTCGCTATACCACACACAGACTGTTCACTGACACGAGGACCTGACTGCCGAGAGAAGGCCCCGCATTAACCAATCCGGTTCTCCGAAGGAGTTCAGCAACGTTGACCAATCACAACTCGGAATCCCCACGCGGGGTATCCAGTAAACCAGCCTTCTGATTGGGCTGCAAAGTGTGACCTCACATATTCGCCATTTTGGATTTGAAGTGACATTCGCTGCGTTCAACAACTTGTTCAAAAACAAAGGTAATAATTTATATATCCGTGCACTGCAGCCGGTGGTTCATCTTTCAGATTATGAGTGTATACCTGTGAGTTTTATCAATATCGTTAAACAGTACCATTTCAAACTCAACATATGCCAGTGTTACAGAAAAATAACCTCACTAGCCAAAGACAGAAATTGTCATTTTAATAAAAGCAGTAGGCTGTAAATGTGGTATGAGCTTAATCCGGGAACAATTATAAATGAAGCTAGTCTGACTTGAAAAATAGTTTTAAGTTTGAAACTAGAAATCACACTTTCTGCTCTCAATTCAAAGGGAGTTAGAGATGCCAAGAAAAAGAAAGATTACTATGCCAAGAAAAACAGGACTCATAGAAATTCATTCAACACCTTAAGTGCGCAGATGTGAATACCGCTTAATCTACAGCAGTGTCCTCTGAGTGACTTGAATTGATCGACCTATTTCTAAGGAGACCTCAAGCATCTACAAGGGTTCATATCAGCAGCACTAGGTAGGCTACAACACGTCTGCGCTTCAGGATATCAGCCTATCACGTGTTGCTTACTATGCTCGGCCCCACGTGGGCCCTTCCCGCCCCCCTCCACCTTCCGTCACTTCTTTTTATCCAATGGTGTCGCAGCTGTCTTCCTCCGCGGCTTACAATTGGCTCAGCGCTGGAAAAGCTGTCAGTCAGGAGTCTTTGTTGTCAATTAAACCCACGTTGGGTACGGCGCTGACAAATGCCTGTGCTACTCTCCCTCCTGCCTGCGAATAGTCCCTGGAATGGCTGCTTAATTAGCTTCGAATGGCTTTTCCTTTCAGCTCAAACAATCTGTCACTACCATGTGGTAAAAAGAACCGTGCATAAAACAAAAGCAGGGGGGAAAAAAGCCAGTAGGGGCTAAATATCAGTTTGATTCCCCCACCCCCCAACCCCTCCTTCATGAAAACATTTGCTGAAAAACAAGGCTTTTACCTTGCTCAAACACTGGCTGGTTTCACTCATCTGTTTCTGTCCTCATTTACTTCTACAACTATTTATTTATCTGGGTGTCCATTTAGTCCCTTCACGTTTCAATTTAAGAATAGGATTTCTGTATTCTTTTAAACAAGTGGACCAGGTTTAAATAGCATGCACACACACACACACACACTAGCTTGCTGTTAAATGTTAGTGTTGGTTTTAAGAGATTTTATTATTAAAAGTTTCAAATAAATGATCTAACTGCAATCTTTTAAGATATATGTAGGCTATGTTATGGATTGGGCCGAACCCAAACCACTGAGAGTATCGCATCCGAACCTGATACGGACCCGACAAGCTTATGATATATAAAGTCCAAACCCAACCAGAGCACGATGCGGTTATGTTTTATGGTGTTTTTCTCCTATTCATTTAGAAGAAGCTCACATTTGAGTGCTCCATCTTAGTTTGACCTATGTGTCTGAACCTGACCTGTAGAGGTGAAGAAAACAAATCAATTCACATTAGAATCGCGATTCATATCACCTACGACTCTAAATCGATTCATGAATGCTAAAAATCGATTTCTGTAATAATGTTGACTGAACAAAAAAGGCAGAACTCAACCAGGAAGCCAGTGTAGCACACGGAAGAGTCATGTTGTACATCTATAACTGTAAAATTAGCTTATCTTCAGAACAGGTACTCATTTCAGCCTGTGCTAATAACTTCATAATGAGCCTTGAAAGACAAGTGTGGAGGACTGCGTGAATACTTCATAGCCCATCACTAAAGCAGCTACATTAGCGTAGCGAAGCAGCAAACGTATTGACAACCGAGAGTAGCTCAGCACCACACACTGCAGCTCTTGACTCGAACTGGTGAGACAAAGAAAAGAGTTTGTTTCTACAGACATGTGCCCATTTTGGATCACAGCTGCAGACGTAACGATAACAGCAACACAACTGAGCATTCCAATCTTATATAATTATAATTTCCAGCACTTTATATATTCTCAGGTAGCAGTATGTAAAGCAGTACTTGGTTTTGATGTTCATCAGAACCAGGTAGCTTAAAGAGCCCATGCCATTTTTTCCTTCTTTTCTGACTTATCTACAATATTACAATGTTGAATTATCATCTTAGATGTGACCTAAAACTCAAAAAGATGAGGTGTACATATGTTGTAGTACTTCTATGCAGAAGCAACTTGGTTTATACACATCTCGCAAACTCTCGCTCGCGAGTCTTTGTCTAACAAAGTATCTAATAAAGTATCACATGATGGCTTAAGGATGTCCTTGTACATCTCAGAGCTAAACTCAGCTTTGTTAAAACTGATATTTGTAGCATAACAAAGTGTCCCAAAGAAATATACCAAATTTTAAGCTTAGTATGCTGCAGGCTTTAGCTGTTGCTTAGCAACAACCGTATCCCATCTGCAGATGCTCTGACGAGTTGGGATAATAAACTCATGGACTGATGGCATGTCAGTAACCTGCACACTCACTGGGAGACTTTAAATAAGGTTTTACACATAAAATGTTTCCTAATAATAAATTATCTTAGTAGTATTATAGTTGCAACAATACATTGAGTATAATATAGATAACATAACCCTTTATTATCCTCAAGAGGCAATACATAATTGAAACTTTACCAATTCAGATCCTGGGTAAGGGCCCAATAGGAACTGAGAGGTTCAGTAGTAAATGTTGCTAGGGATAAATAAAATAATCTATAGGGCCTCTACTTTGCAGGTAAAGTTGAATGTCAACAACTTTTTTTTTTTTTTTTTTGCTGTCCAAAATCAACTTCTAACATATCGTCATTGTCTATTCATCATATCTGCACCCAAGTGGGCAAGTACTGTTGGTGTATGTATAACTGTTGGTCAGCTGTGCTGATATTTGTCAGTTTACTCTGGGTGGAGAATCCTGGGATTGGTATGTGTATGTCCAGTGTAAAGATGTGGGTTATCTGGGAACTGGCAAACATAATGGTGGTCTCCACAGGCCCAAGACTCTGATTCAAGAACCACATACAAACAGACATTATCATTCAGCTTCATCTGAAAGGCTGAGGGCTTGCTAGTGCATGTGTGTGACATATCTGCACCGTGGCTATGTCACACACACACACACACTAGTACACACACACACAGATCCACTTTTCATCCAACTAAACAGAGAGCGGCCTAGATTAGACAGAGACAAAGGATTGGGTTTCACCTCCAGGATAAAGAGGCCAGTCCATCCTAGACTTCTGCACTGTTTATTTGCACTAAATATACAGACACTGTGAAACCCCCACTCTGAGGCACTACACAAAAATTGGGGCTATTTGCAGAAGTGGTTTTAATTCTTCACAGAGCAATGATTGGATCTTTTCATTCACATCTCTGCAATGGTCAGTGGATTCCTCCAGCCTCCTTTGCCCAGCCCCCCAAATATATATTTTCAATTGCTTTTGTGGCCACAAAAGACTCAAATCCCATATATTCTGCTTATGGTATCACATTATCTACTCAAACAAACCCCCAACCACAGCTTCTATAGTGAACCAAAACCAGTTCCTGCTTCTGTAGTAAATGCAAGGATCTTGATACTTCCTGAGAATAGAAACCATGTTCTCTTGCCTGCAGTGTGAAAACAAGGAGGGGCTGGTTCACAGAAATAAAGCACTGCTTCAGATATCTGGTACAGTATACAAGGCTATAAACGAGCAGAGTTTACATAGCTTAATATTAATTAGAGATTTTTTCCCCTTGTTGTCTCAACTTTGTGAAGTTGTTTATCAGCCTCCATCAGATCACTTCATCCATTCAGCAATCTGCTCATTCAACTAGCCCAGTTGCTTTTTCTTGGGGGAGTGCAAAATGGGGCCTACTTCCCCACTGGTTTGGTTGGTGGGTTGGCTGCAGCAGTATTGTGAAGCACCCACTGACTCAGGATTATTGACATGCTTTCATAGGCTAGTTCAGGCCATGAAAGGAGGCATTCCTCGCCACAATGGGCCCAGTGTGTTTCGTGGGGGCTGCAGACATGAATAGGGCCCCAAAGTGGATCACTGTGACTTGTCAGCCTGTAATCAATGCAAACAAGATGAAAGGGTCTTATCAAAAGAGACAAACACATAAGCAGTGTCTGAACAAAAAAAGGTGAAGTCCATGCATTTGTAGGTCCTATGCATGCTGTATAGGCCCACACAGATGCATGTTTGGAGGAAAATTAGAGGCAAAGAATACAGAAAATAGCACTGTCAAAGCCAGTGGACTGTATATAATGTACAATATACCCACAGAAAATGGCAGCGAAAATATTCACCAAATTGTAATTTATTCAGTAATGGATTGAGATTAGTTACAAAGAAATGAATTTCTAATAGAGAGAGCAGATTTTGAGCGATTTCTTGTTTTAAATCCACATCTGATGATTTGCTATAATCTGCCCATGAAAGCAGACATCCTCCTCTGCAAAGAAAACCTGTGGCAAGCTTTTAAAAACACAGCTGTCAATCAGGGCAATTCATTAAGGTATTAAAGGTAAACAAGAGTGAAGAAGTGAGAAAAGACAAGAGGCTCCTCAAAGTGCCTTCATACATTTTTCTTTTGCTGTCATCTTTTAGGCAGCTTGGAGATACAACCCTAAATCAGAAAGAGCTGGGACAGCATGTATAAATCAAAATTGAAAACAGTGGTTTGTGAACCATCTGCGTCCTGTATTACATTGAAAACAATACAGCAGCACATTATTTGATGTGATACCTCACAATAATTTGTTTGTTTATTTAAATAACATAACTGTTTTTGAGTCTTTTGTAGTTTTGTAAAACCAGCCTACTTCTCAATGCAGGTTAGTTGAAATGTTATTGTATTCCATGGACCCATTGCCCTGAAACAATATTAACCGATCATGTAATTTGAGTGTTTTTTGTAGTGTCAATTTGAAATAAGTTCACAA